TTTTTTTTTTTCAAACATTATATTCATTGGTTTTGAATCCATTTTTTTCAAGATTATTTTTTAGTTTTTAAAATATATCCAGGGGGATTCTGAGTCCATTTTTTTTTTTAAACATTCTATTCATAGGTATTGAGTCCATTTTTTTTTAAAGTTCTATTTGTAGGTTCTGAGTTCATTTTTTTTTTTTTAAACACTTAACGACTTAATTTGAATTAAATTGGTAAAATCATAATATTAAGTACCAGGATCCTAGCAATATTATTAAATACCACGGTCAATAGTAGTAGTAGAATCATATATACACGACATTTTATTTACTTTGAATGTCAGTTAATTCAGTTTAACAACTATAGAATATAGAACTATTAAGAAGGGATATTAAAAACTAATAATCACGTTTACATCGACGACGACGACGGTATCTATTAAAGTAAAAAATAATAGTAAATAATAGTTATCAAAGTTTTATGTTTATGTTTTTTTTTTTTTTTTTTTTTTTTTTTTTTCAACATTTCTATATCTTAACTTGAATTAAATCGGTAAAGTAATATTATTAAGTACCAGGATTCCAGCAATATTATTAAATAACACGGTCAGTGGTAGTAGTAGTAGTAGTATCATATCTATACAACATTTATTTACGTTCAATGTCACTTAATTCAGATAAAACTAATAATGATGTATACATCGACGACGGCGATATCTATTATATTAGAAAATAATAGTAAATCATACTTATCAAAGTTTTATATATTTATTTATGTTTTTTTTTTTTCATGAAGTATCAGTCTACTACGAACTATTGTGTGGTAAGTCTTATATTTTGTTTAATTCATTTTTTTTTTAATTTAATATCTTATACTAAATTAATCTTTTCATTATAAATTCTTAAATAAATTGTACAAGAGATTTTAATGAATTATCAAATTTATTTTCAACTTTTTTTATTTTCAGAATCCTTTAATTAAAAAACTATTAGAATGGCTATTATAGATATTCAATGTATTCTTGGAGTAAATAATAAATATTTTATAAAGGAGATGTCTATAGTAGACATAGAATCATTAGCTATTCAACATTGGATATTTAAGCATACTTCAATTAAACAAGATACAAAATCTCAAAGCGTTAACAGATGGTTGATGAGGTATTATCATGAGATTCCTCTCGAATACGGAGACGTAGATTATGGTGAACTCAACGAGATTTTAAAATCGTTAAAATTTGACTGTATATATGTGAAAGGATTACAAAAACAACAGATTTTACAAAAGTTCATATCAAACATTACAATAATAAATTTAGAAGACCTTGAATGTCCGCGGTTAAATCAATTACAAACTGATAATACTCTACCTCGATGTATTTATCATAAAGATTCAAGTTCTAAACAATGCACACTTTACAAAGTATTTGCATTACACAAATGGTTAGTTAATAAACTCTAAGACTTTTATGTATTGTGTAGAACACTAAAACTTTTTATTGAAAATATGTATTTATGATGTATACACGATTTATAATTTAGTTCAATACTATAGTATATATTATATTGCAACACTGCTTTAAGTTTACACCTCTTTTTTTTAATACATAAGCATTAGTTCGCTATAAACCACTGTTTCAGTAACTAGTTCGTTTTCGTATAATTTTGTAATATCATAGACTTAATAATTTTTTTTTCACTATGATTTATCAAATTAATTGTACAAGTGATTATAATAAATTATTAAATTCAGTAAAAAACTGTCCAAGTATTCAATATCCTCAGTATGTAACTTTTATAAAACGGTTACAATCACTTAATAAATTTCCATCATCTTTACCTGATAAATTACAACTATCAGAGGCAGGATTTTTCGGTAAAACTAGAGATTCAGTTCAAAGTTTCCATTGTGGTTTAATATTAAGTAATTGGCTTATTGGAGATTGTCCTTTTCGTGAACATGCAAAATTTTCAAACAATTGTACTTTCTTATTATTAAGTAAAGGTGTTAATTTTATAAACGATGTTACTAATAAATTTAACTATAAGAATTTAAGTTTTAATTGTTGTAACATGCATAATTATTCTTCATGTGATGAAGTTGATAAATAAAAAATATGATATTCATTTTTATATTATGCATGAGTAAATATATTTTATAAATATAATTATATTCTATTTATATAGTTTAATTTGTATTCAATATATTCATGAGCATGTAGCCGTGCGGTTTAACGCGTCGATTTTTAACGAGATATGTTAGGTTTAGATAGACGGTGGATTGGATAGGAATATAATATAATATAATGTAGGTATGTATAATATAATTAATAATATATATATATATATATATATAAATATAATAAATTCTAGTTAAAAATCGATGTGTTAAAACGTATAATCTATGTGTTCATTTTTGATGTATTTAAATGAGAAACATTCTCGTTTTCGATTCAGTTATATGCTATACTTTAAGTAATCAACTACGTTATTAAAAAAACTTTAAAATAAAGTATTATCAAGAATTAAAAGTGTTTTTTTTTTTTTTTTTTTTTTTTTTTTTAGTTATAAAACAATTAAATTAATTGGTATAAGAACAATAATATTTTATTATCATGAATCCATCCGTTGTTGATAAATCAATTTTTGAAATTCATAATAAAAAATATGTGACAGTAGGTTATTTAATAGGAAAAGAAATTTCGGTCGTAATATTAATTGGAACAAGTAAAAATGTTTTTACATTAGATTTATTAAATTGGAATGATTTAATGAATGAAACTAATTTCAATTTAATTTTAAACAATTTACAAAATCGTACAAAATCGTCAGTTTCGTTAAATGAAAATCTATGTTATTCAATAAATGCAAAATATTCTTCAATTACATTGAGATTAGATAATAATTCAATTACATTAAGTATTATCGATCTATGTCGTCTTAAACAAATTCAAATGTGTATAGATTCGTACATTATAGAAAAGCAGAAGAAAATTAATTGTTATCAAAACTGTTTCAACCTATTTTATAATTCTCTTAAACAATCAGTATCGAGTCTTCCCATCAGCTGTCAATCAAATGCTTTTATTTATCAATATATACAGAATTATGTTTACGATACTAACTTGGAAGGAATGTCATTAATATGTGAAATACAACAATATCAATTTGCTACTTTATCAAATTTAATATTAAAAGATTTATATCAATAAATGTTATGTTATTTGTATCATGAAAGATATATTTAATATATA